TGAATGACAACTCCAATAGACACTTTGTGATCCCTGTTTTAGTTGGCATCTCGCAGCATATGATACTCCTGACCATGACCCATTGTGTGGCCCCTGTGGCAGCTGCTCTGTGGGCCCATTCTGCTCACTCTCTTTAGCTGGACTCTCCTCCACCACCTCTCTCTGCTCTGTGGATGTAGGAGTGCCTGGGGTTCTTGCCCTGCTCACTACACACAAGCTGCCTGAGGACCCTCATCCAATCCCTTGGCTTCAACTGCTCACAGTACCCTGCACAGCATGTCCTTTCTCCCTGAACCTCACATACTGCCTACTGCCTCATGACTATGTCCATCTGCACATCCCACAGCACCTGAGACTCAACACGTGCCAAGCCTGCCTTAACTCAGTAGTAAGTTTGCCTATCTTTCCCTGTCCTCAACCTGGATGAGTAAAGGACACCAATATCCACCCATCCTGGGCTCCTCCTTATCCTTCATCTCCATGTCTGACCTGTTATTTAATCCTGTCCAGAATAATCATTGCCTCCATGGACTCAGCACCTACAATGTCCTAGGGTTTTGATATCCATGTTCTCATTTAATTCCCACAACAGGACTACAAGAGAGGCATTATTCTATTATCAGCGAAGACTGAGATTCTTACTAAGTAACTTGCCTTAAGTTCCTACACGTAGTCAGCAACGGAACCACATCTGATCTCCAGCTCTCTCCACTCCCCGCACTCTGCTTTTCTTCAAGGCTACTCTTTTTACCTCTTTTGTATCTTTCACCCAACCCTTCTTTCCTGCAATGCCCATCGTCTTGGACCAGGACTTCAGTTTCTCACTGTGGTTCCATGCCTTCTTGTCTCCAGTCTTTCTTCCCAGCTGTCCAACCCATCATCCACTCTGCTGCCAGAATGAGCTTCCCAAATACATGGTACCTTTCTGCCTACAGGACCCCCACCTGTGGATCCCCCTTGTCCCCCAAAATGCTTAGGTTCTGTACATGAGCATGTAAAGGAGTGGCTCCAAGTTCCACCCAGCTTCATCCCTCCCTACCTCATCCCCTTCTTCACCCCTTTACCAAGATCCAGCTCTGTGTGTTCCTGCAGCTCCAGGAAGGCATCATGCTCCCTCAGGCCACATGCACATGCTGTTCCCTCTGCTGAAGATGTCCTTCTCTCTCTCTCCATTCCCACCCACAGTCTGGGAAGCTCAGCTCTTCCTTCAAGCCCCACCCCTGAGTCTCCTGCTCTCCCACAGCAGAGCTGCCTTCCCTCTCTGAGGCCTCCCGGGTACCTGGCACATGCCTTTATTATTACCTTTGCCACAGTGTGTTGAAACTACTTTTTTATTTTCTTATATTACCATTTGAGTGTGAGATCTTTGTATTTATCTTTGCATTTTAGCTAGTAGTAGTCTCTTGTTCATATTGAACACCTAGAAATATTTGTTTTATTTTTATTTTTATTTTTTGAGTTGGATTCTCACTCCATCACTCAGGCTAGAGTGCAGGAGTATGCTCACGGCCACCCCAGCAATAACCAGCTGGGCTCAGGTGATCCTTCCACCTTGGCCTTCCAAATAGCTAGAACTACAGTTGCACGCTACCACACCTGGCTAACTTTTTTATATATTGTAGAGATAAGGTCTTGCCAAGTTGCCCACGCTGGTCTCAAACCCGTGAGCTTCAGGTAATCCTCCCACCTCGGCCTCCCAAAGTGCTGGGATTATAGGCTTGAGCCACTGTGTCCAGCCTTGTTTTGTTTTATTAAGAGACAGGATCTCATTGTGTTTGCCCAGGCTGGCCTCAAACTCCTAGGCTCAAATGATCCTCCTATCTTAGCCTCCAGAGTAGCTGTGACTGCAGACATGTGCAGTCATCATGCCTGGCATGAAATGTTTATTGAATTGAATTTTATATCATACCTAGTATAGTTCCTGGCACAAAGAGGATACCCTGCCCAATGCATTTTTTAACTGAATTGAAACAGAAATGTCAATAAATTATTGTGATATGATGTGATACATGTTATTGTAGATAACATTCAGAATATTGTGGGAGACCAGAGGAAAGAAAAATTAGCACTATCCTAAGGGTAGAGAAAGAGATGGGTCAGGGAAGACGTCCTAGAAGAAGTGACATTCCATCTGGGCCTCTCAGTTTAAGTAAGAATTGACCTACACAGAGCGAATCAGCAGCTTGAACAAAGACATGGAGACCGTGCAAGGGCCCACGGTAATTGGGAACCAATAAGATGTACCTAGAGTGTCCAAAGACATGGGCGGGAATTGAGTGATAGAGTTAGGCCCAAAGCAAACACCACCTAAGGATTTTGGACAAAACCCCAAAGGCAGTGGAAGCCCTCTTAAGATTTTCATAAAATAAGTACTGGCACAAACTTGTGGAAGAAAGATGTGGAGGATGAACTGGGGGAAGGGACACACGCGTGCAGGAGGTGAGATCAACCACTGTGGGATCCTGGCCAAAAGCAGCCATTGCAGGAATCCTGGGGAGAGATGACCTTACCCGGAATCTACCCAGTTCCACATGTACAAAGTTACTTCTGCAGAGTCAAGTCTCTCAAAGTGTTCGCCCCAGGTGGGAAGGGTGGGCTGCCGCAGAGTAAGGCCTCTGGTCAAATAAGTTTAGAACATGCTGGATTAAACAGTTTTCTGGGTTATTGCAGGGCATGCTGGGTTAATGCAGGACTTTTCAGAGCTTTTAATATACACTGTATGTGTAATATACAGAATTTTCCAAACCTATTTAACCAGAGAACCTCTTTCTGAGACCATCTCAAGGAACTAGAGTTGAATGGACTATGTAAGATAGAAAAAAGACCTAGAGTTTTCATGATTTTGCCAGCTCTAATTCTTAGGAGAATAAAAAAATTTTTTTAAATTTTTAAAAATAGTTTTCTACTGGATGTTAATTGATATGCTCACTAAACACTCTGCTGCAGGAGTCTTGCATGTATGTTTTTTGTTGGGGGAACAGAATCTTCCCATAGAAAGATGAGAGGTGGCTTTTAGTCATTCTATCCAGAAACAAGCAGCACCAGGTCACCTGCTCCTCCCAGGTCCCTCATGTTTGTTCAGGCCTGGAAGAGGTCAGCTCCAGGTGTTTGAAAAACTGGCAGGTCCTGACCTATGGAAAAGAGAGGCCAGGTCTGCAGCTTCTGGAATGTTCTGCTCCATCAACATCTCTCACTCTGCCTTTGGTCCTCTTGCTGGGAAGAGAGTCAAAGCAGCCAGTTCAGTCCCTCCCACCCTTGGGATGCTATCCCCAGTGAACGTGCTAGGTCTTTGGTCATGGCCTAGGACTCATCACACTGTCATACACCGCTCACTGGGACTCCCAAGCACAGGTCACTATTTGTAGGCTTCCCCTTGCCTGAGCACTGGGGGAAAAAATCAAGCATCTAGCAGCATGCTTTTTGTCTTTAAGTGAGCCCTGGCCTTAAATGCTTCCTCTGGCAGCTCCAGTGCCATTTCCCAGCTGAGTCCCCAGGGTTGAGAAGTCTGGGCAGCTCCATGTGTGGCTTGGGGAGGTGCCTTTTTCTCCACTGCAGGAATTCTCCACTAGAGAAGCATCAGATATTCCTCAGCTGCTGCCAGGGCTGCAGGGGGAAGAGTTCAAAAGTGCAGAAGGGGACAGATAAGCAGGAACCTCCCTGTGAAGGTGTGGCTTCCGACAGGACACAAGGACAGACAGCAGGCCACTGCCAGCACTAGAATCAGGAAATTGCCCAGAGCCCTGAGTAGGGAGCCCTGAGTGGGGGCTCTTGGAAGCGGTCCCGCTGCTGCTCCTGAACTGTGTGTCCTGAAGGGGGCCACAGTTGGTCTGGTTTGTGTAAGCACAAAAAGGGCTCTAAGACATTGACTCTCCAGACTTTCCTATCACATATTGCTTTACTGCAGAATGATCCGACCTCCCTGTTTTGGACTTACAGAAATATCTGAGTGAAGCTCCTGGTATATCAACCCCTACTCCATACCTTAAGGAGCCCAAGCTACTCCTCCAGCACTCTTAGACCAGGAAACGGAGACCCAGAGAGAGAAAAAGGACTCAGCCAAGACTCTAGTGTTTGTCAGAGACAGAAAAAGAACACAGTTTGTCTGTTTCTGTTCCTTGCTTTTTTTCACTGCACAGCACGTACTGTCTCTCCTAATGGAGAAAGAAATTCAGCTCTATTGCCTGCTTTATCTTCTACAAATATGTATTGCTATTAAAATTAAACAAAAGCATTTTCTAGAGTCAGATAGAGCCAAAATCAAATTCCAGCTCTACCACTTACTAAGTACAATAGAGTTATTTGCCACTGAGCAAATGGGCAAATAACTTGACATCTGTAGCTCAGGATCTTTCTCTGGAAACACCACCTATATCATAAGATCTTGTGAAGATTAATTGAGAGAATGTCTGTAAAGAGCTCTATTTGATGCCCAGCAGGTAATAAACACTCAATAAAAGTTAGCTATTTTTGTTACCAGTGTTGTTAATATCTTAATGACTATGTAAGATGGTTGAAAATTTACATTTAAATTTGCATTATGGTGAAAGCCTATTACCTGTATTTGGATGTACATAGATGAGTTGAGAAAAGTGGGATTTTTTTTTCCACTAAGCAATTTAAATTTCCACTTTAAAATGTTTTTTGTTCTCAGTTGGCTTTTAACTGGTTTAACAAGTTGGCAGGCAAACCCAAAACACTAAATTTCCACCAGCTCCTTCTTGTATCCACCTTTTCCTAAAACACTATTGAACTACAGTATCTTTCATCATAGGCACTCAACAGATGTTTTCGGATTGATGATGGATGGATGGATAGATAAATGAATGGATGATGAATGGATGGGTGGATGATGGATGGATGGATGGATAAGCAGATGGTTAAGTGGATGGATAGATGGATGAATGGATGGATGTTGGATGGATAGATGATGCAAAGACAGTGACTGAAGTAACGATTTTTTATTCAAACTGGATAGTGGTCCAGTTTCATGAAAAGCCATAATGGAGAGGCTGAGGTACTGGGATAACATGGTGAAGAGCCAAGAAGTCTTGATGCAGAAAAAGAACAGGTATAGTAGAAGTAAGGGGATTTGGGAGGAATGGCTGTAGTCAGAGACTGAGAGTGGTCAGTATGAAGTCCTAGAATAGGAGTAATACCTGGTGACAAAAGGTCCAGGGAACAGCCATGGTGATGGGTGACCAAGATGGAGAGGGTCCTTAAATTCAATGAGTTCCAGGGACTCTGCATCCAGGTTGATGGGTGGGTGATCCACATGGCCTTTTATGCAATTCCAAGTTAGGATTAAAGTGACCTGAAGTAATGAGCTTCTACTCTACATTCCATCAAATTGCTCCATGGGCAGGATGGGGATTTCTTACATAAAACTGAATTAAATATGAAATAGAAATCACTCACTGAACAAAGGTATTTATTTATAATTCTTGCCCTATTTTTATCTCAGCAAATGAATGGTGATATTGCTTAAAGTCTTTGTGTGTGTGTGTGTGTGTGTGTGTGTGTGTGTGTGTGTGTGTGAGAGAGAGAGAGAGAGAGAAAGAAAGAAAGAAACAGAGAAACAAGAGAGAGAGAGAATGTGCATCACGTTGTTTTGTTGTCTGACCCTTTCAGCATTTTAGCTCTAGGCCAATTGTGGGGCAAGACTGAGAGTCTTGTGGGAATTTTATATAGCAAAATGTCACCGGCAACCAAAGACATTCCATTCTTCCCCACCCCCCATCCAAATACTTGAAATTCACAGTAAATTTTGGCTTGGCAAGCCTGGTGTTATATTTGTGCATGGGAGGTTTTATTTATAATTTCTACTCATAGTACAAGGAAAAGAACGCTGGATGGTGGGTCAGAAGACACCAAGCCCCCCAGCCCAGTTCCATCAGCACTTGCTCTATGACTGTGAATAAGAATTGTGGCCAGGATGTCACTTGTATAGCACTTAAAAGTCTAAAAATCACCCTCATACTTTAGTTAGTAATACTGTGTTGTATACTTGAAATATGCTAAGAGAATAGATCTTAAGTTTTCTTACCACCCACAAAGTTGTACCTATGTGAGGTGATGGATATGTTAATTCGCTTGGTTGTGGTCATTTCACAGTGTATACGTATATTAAATCACACGTTGTTCACCTCAGATATACAATTTTTGCCAATTATACCTTAGTAAAGCTGGCGGAAAATCATCCTCAACTTTCAATCCTCACCACAATCCACAGAAATTTCCAGACAGATATTATTGTGTCCTTTGACAGATGGGAAACCGAGACAGAATAGAAAAGTGGAGTGACATCTGCAAGGTCACTCAGTTGTAAGTGGAGAGCCAGGTAAGGCCAATAGGCCTCCTGGTCCATGTCCAGCACTCTTAGCACTGGACTGTGGCAAGTCACCCCTCTGTGTTTCTGCCCTGGTAACGTGAACTCATCTCCAAGTCTCCCTACACACAGTTCTGACTAGCTGAGGCTCTGGAAGGATCATGGCAGGAGCAAATATTTGCCCATCCACTGGCTTTCCTGAGGATAGGGTAAGCCATACACAAAGTTATGAGGTTAGAAAAAAAATGCCATTTCAATGCTTTTCACTCCCTCATAGCCACCAGCCTCATCAGAAAGATGCCCCAAGAGCACAGGAAGCCCACTGAGTATGTACTCCACCCACCTTTTCTGGCAAGGTAATAAATCTTTCCACAGCTGGTCCTGAGTCTGTAGTTCCCACCAGGTTGGAAGAACAGGCCACCTCTCCCTTTCATGTGCCCTGACACCCCTCACAGATCAATCAGGACATTTTTTTCCTCAATGAACATGACCTCAAATACTGTTACTCAGTCAAAAATTGACCCATGAGATGAAACCTATTTTTTGTCCATGTGTTAAGTAGTTGTTAATAATTTATACCACGCTTTCTTCCAGAAAGGCTAAGAGACATCAACAAAACTATCAAGCACCAGGATCAAAGAGCAAGAATGGAGTGAGGGGAAGATCTGTGTGCAGAAAGCCTAGACTGAGGGTCTGTTGCAAATGAGCAGAAAACTTCACTGTCAGCTTCCTTACAGACAATGCTGAAAGGAAAACTAGGATACGAAACTCTAACAAACACAGTCATCTTTTAGAGATCTAGGCAGTGCTAGTATCAATTTTAAATACAGAGTCAAACAGTTTCGTAGGCTTCACCCAGCAAGGCAGTGTTTCTTACAGTGCTCTAGACTGAGAATCAGAACCATCTGGGGTGCTTGTTCAAAATGCAGGTTCCTGACCCCATCCCATACTCACTGAGATTCTTTGTGAAATGGGCCTGGTGACCTGCATTTTAAATAAGCTCATAAATTGATTCTTCAATATCTGCACATTGGAGAACAACTTCACCAAACTGTTAGTAGATGGCAGTGCTTGATGTAGCAATTTTCGTCCATGATGAGGCAGGTAGATCTCCAAGTCCAGGAGTCCAGAAGCTGGTCAGGTGGCAAAAACCCAGATGAATGAGCCATGCCATGCCTCCCACAACACCCTGGCCTGCACTTCCCACTCTCCAATACACGCTGGGATCTGCCAGGATCTGCTTTGGGGAGCAATCATGCGTTCCTCCTCTCCCTCCTCACAGGTTTGGAATAAATTGCCTCATCCAGTTTGAAGACTTTGCCAATGCCAACGCCTTCCGCCTGCTCAACAAATACCGCCACAAGTACTGCATGTTCAATGATGACATCCAAGGTAGGTTTCCACCCCACCTGGCAAAGCCACTGGGGACTAATGCCTTTTCTCAAAGCTTACCAGGGATGCCAAAGGGCTGTCACCTCATAGTTGGTTGGCTGCCAGTAACTGTTGAAAGAACATTAAACTTGGATTCAACCTCCACTTGGCTAATTCTTGGGTCTGTGACCTTAGACAAGTCCCTTAACTTTGGTAAGCCTCCAATTTCCTTATCTACAAATGAAGATGATTACCACTTCAGAGATAGGTAAAAATTGTTTGATTGTGAGAAAACACAGGCCTAAAGAACCTGCTTCACCTCCGCAGAGTCGATTGCTCTGACTGCAGTCAGTCACTTCAGAGGAAGTGCTCTGTGCTGAAGGCTACCATCCAATTTCACTTTTTAATTGATTTTTTGTTTACATTTTATTGCTTTCACATCTGGATGGTGCCTTTTGTATGTGGTAGTAAAAGTTATGTGTCCAAAACTGTGTCTCAGATTAAAAAAGAAAAGAATGTGATTGAATATATATATAAGAAATTCTAAGTCATGCTATAATTTACTAGCTAATTTAACTTGGATAAATCACGCCTCTGACCACGTTTCTTTTTTTTTTCTTTAGAATTAATATTTTCTATTTTATTTATTTATTTATTTTTAACTTTTAATTTTTCTGTTTTAAAGATGTGGGGTACAATTCAGGATTAGGTATACAAATGTTCATTATGCAGATACCCTTGTTAATGAAGTGTGACCCCTTCCCCAGGCAGACTCCCATTACTGCCAATCCCACTTCCCTGCCCCACTCCCAGCAGTTTCTGCTACTGCCAATCCTTTTCTTATAGTATTATGATAATTGTTCAAGGTCTGCTTATGAGTAAGAACATGTGATACTCAGTTCTTTGTTTCTGTGAAAGATCACTCAGTACTATAGACTCTAAGTCCATCCAGGTTGCTGTGAAGTTCATGATTTTGTTCTTCTTTATGACTGTATAATATTTCATCATGTATATGTACCACATTTTTTTAAATCCAGTCCTCTTTTGATGGGCAGCACGGTTGGTTCCATGTTCTTGCTACTGTGAACAATGCTGCAATAAACATACGTGTGCAGGTATCTTTTTTATAGAGTGATTTGAGTTCTTCCAGGTATATTCCCAGTAGGGAGATTGCTAGGTCGTATGGAAGATCAATTTTTAGATCTTTTAGGAGTCACCAAACTGTTTTCCACAGAGGCTGTACTAGTTTACACTCATACCAACAGTGTAGAAGTGTTCCCTTTCGCCACATTCTCTCTAGCATCTGTTGTTTTTTGAGTTATTGATGATAGCCATCCTGACTGGAGTTAGGTGGTATCTCAGTGTGGTTTTAATTTGCATTTCTTTAATGACTAATGAGGCTGAGCATTTTTTCATGTATCTGTTGGCTGCTTGCATGTCTTCTTTTGAAAACTATCTATTCATATCTTTTGCCCACTTTGTAACGGGGATGTTTGTTTTTTTCTTTTTGGCACGTTTGAGTTCCTTGTAGATCCTAGATGTTAGGCCTTTGTCAGACATACAGTTGACAAATATTTTTTCCCAATCTTTGGGCTGTCTCCCTGCTTTCTTGATGTTTTCTTTGGCTTTGCAGAAACTTGTCAGTTTGATGAGGTCCCACTTGTCTATCTTATCTCTTATGGCATGGGAACTTGAGGTTTTGATCAGGAATTGGTTACCAGTTCCAATTTTCATAAAAGTGTCTCCTGCATTTTCTAAGATTCTTATAGTCAGTTTTTACATTTAGGTCTTTGATCCATTTAGGGTTGATTTTTGTGTATGGTGATAGGTAGGAATCTTGTTTTAATCTTCTGCATGTGGTCAGCCAGTTTTCCCAGCAAAATTTACTGAATAGGTTCTCCTCTCCCCAGTCGTTGGTGGTCTGACCACAGTTTCATCATCTAGTCAATGGAGATGATAATAACAGCCTTGGATGAATATTCTGAAAATTTAAAGACCTAATATGTAGAAAGTATTAGCAAATAGAACTCAGCAAACCAAAAAAAAAAAAAATCAATCACCATAAAAATGACTTTCCCTAGCCATAATAACTTGTTTGGAAATTTTCCAAGCACAAGATGTATCCTTGTCAGGGAATCAGAATAATTCCCTCTCTGAACTTGGCTAGAGTATGTGCTGCTCCGAGCAATAACCCTGAGAGATATCGGCACCAGGGACCCAGAGCACTCCAAAAGCCAACACAAAGTATCTTCTAGTTCAGATCCACATGGTCACCTATTCTGTGGCCAAGAAATATCTGAAGGCTTTTGTTCCTTGCTGCGGATGTGACAGTATCTGAAGCTGGCATGGAAAGAGAATTGTCTTACCTCCTCCAGGAGTTCTCAGAAAGGAGCATCATGAGCTATTCCTTGCATTTTGTAAAGCCCAAGAGAATCTTGAAGGATCCATGTAGATTGTTTGTTTGTTTGTTTTAAAGTTGTGGGGTACAAGTCAGGATTGCATACGTAAGTGGTTTAGGCACAGGTGAAGTTTGGGGCCTCCCAATGGACCTCACTTCACCTGGATTGGGATCAGGTAGATTATTATTTAACAAATGAAGTTTGCCAAGCAAAATTTTTTAAAACCGAAGATCCGTGTCAGGGAAAAAGAACCAGTTGGTGGGGACAGGTGTTGGCCCTTGCGGGTAAAAAGGTTGGCCAACTGCTCATTTTGCAAATGGTTCCTCTGGAGGCCCAAAGAGGTCATAACTTTTCGTCAAATGAGTTAGGGATAGGCCTCAAAGGACTCAAACCCAGATAGTAACAGCTAAGATTTATAGGCAGATGGTAATTATGCATCAGACATTGTTCTAAGCACTTTGCCCACTCAATCCTATGATTAAGCGTGTCTTATGGGTGAAGAAATTGAAGCACAGAGAGAGTGACTTTTATAGCCAATAAGTGCAGAGATTTGGACCCAGACATTTGGACTCTAAATCTCAAGTTTGTAACTACTCACCATACTGTTCCCAGGACTTATATTAAAAAACAAGTGCCTTTTGTTCCCTGATGGTCTACCTTATAGGACATAAGAAATGTGATGGATGATTTCTTGCACTAGTCACAACTTTTCAAAAGGCAAGGTACCACAGTTAGAACATACTATTAGATAACTAAGTTTAAAACCTATGATCTCAGGACCTGAAGAGTAGGTACCAGAAGGAAGGATGATGCAGAAAGGGAGATCTGGGGCATGGCAACCCTTCCCAGCCTGTCTCCATTCTGTCTCCTCCCTTGCCCTGACACATGAGGACAGGCATTGACTGGGGTAGCTCGGCCTCACCCACACAAAGCCAGGGCACTCTGCACAGACAGGGCCATGTGATCCAGGAAGACTGGCTGGGGAAGGCAGCATTCTCTCACTGCCCACCACTCACCTCACTGTCAGCCCAGTGAGAGGGGTGTGTGTGCCTGTGGCCCTGGAGGAAGCACCTGCCGGCTTACCCCTGGCCAGCTTCCCCAGCATGCCCTTCACCCATGAGTCAGCAGCAGGACAGCCAGTCCCAAGAGCCCACTTAGCTGCTAAGGCCAGAGAGCAGATGTGGAAAACAAGTCTGTGTGGGCAGGACACCTGGTGCACAGCTCCAGATGTACAGATACACAGTCACACGTGTATACATCCTCATAAATGCATGCAAATACACAGGACACAGCCTGGCCCTACAGTCCATCCCCCATCTGCCCCACACCACTGCCAGAATATGCCCCTGACATGAAAATATGACTCACTGTGCCACCCTCTCTTCACAATAAAGTTCACACACCTTCAATGAAAACATAAGGGATTTCTCTTCTGCCCTCTGACCCTCCCTTTGCTTTTACTCCTATGACTGTCTTACCAGTCACTTCTCTCTAAATGTAAAAGTCTCGCTGACCCTTTCCCATCATCTTTGCCTGAGTAACGCCTACTCACCCTTCAGGACTCAGTGCCAGGGTCTTCTGCCCAGGGAAAGACCCATATCAGTCACTGCTCTCCCAGTCTTATTTGGGTGTTCCCTCTGTCAGTTCCCCTACCTAACTGTACCCCCAAACACCTATATTGTGTTATCTGCCTCTCTATGAGATGGTAAGATTTGGGAAGCAGGAACCACATCTTATCTATGAGAGAGACCCCCAAAAAACCAGAATTATCTTTAGAAGAGTAGACCCTTTGTAGTACAGTCTTCCCCCACTAGGTAAGTGTTCTAGGAACCTACTGGCTAGTGTTGTTGTAAGAGGCTGCATTTGACTTCAGTGAATTTTTTTGAAGATTTTTTTCAAAACATTTACCAATTTCTTGATGGGTGACTTAAGAGAGCACCTGCCCACACCGCGCTGAGTGTTCAGCAGTTTTTGACCAAAAGTGGCATGACTCCTGTGCCCCACCCTCCCTATGCACCAATCTCACCCCAAGTGACTTTTTTTTCTTTCCCCGGATGAAAAAAGTCCTCAAAGAGAAACGTTTTGCCTGGGTGGAAGAGACGAAACAGAAAATGGCTGAAGTACTAAAAAGTATCAAAATTGACAAGTTCAAAAACTGTTTTGAGCAGTGGAAAAAGTGTCTTGATAAATGTATTGCATCAAACGAAGAGTACTTGGAAGGTGACTGAAGTTTAAACATATGAGAATAAACACACAATTTTTCATAAATAGTTTTTTTGTGTATCCCCCTTGTATTCTTGTTCCCCAGCTTCCAGCACAGGGCCTGGCACATTACGCATGCTTAATACATGCTGAAAGAATAAATAAATGATGTCTACACATGCAAGCCAGCATTCTCATAAGCCATCCAACTGTTCATGGGTGTGTCTACACTAGACACCTGTCCCTGTAGCCTTTCTCTTGTCCAGATCATCATATATATATATATATAAATACATACAACTGACACTTGACCAACTGGGGGTTGGGGATGCTAGCCCCCCATGTCATTAAAATCCACATATAATTTTGACCCTCCTAAAACTTAACTACTAATAGCCTACTGTTAACTGGAAGCCTTAC